TCTTCTGAAGCAGCAATAAATGTTTTGCCACTGAAGAAGGAAAGGGAGAGGAAGAAAAAAATGTAAATCAAAGGTAGCTTTTCCCTCGGGAGTTTAAAAGAACCTTTGCAGGGAACAGTGGATAATAAGGAAGGTGGAACATCTTTTGCTAATGCAGGAGAGCTCTTGACCCTACCCGATTCTGCTGAGGAATGAAACGAGTGAGAGCCCCAGAAGGAACATTAGGTACACTGGTTATTGGTCTTGTTAAGAAATCGAGTCCATTAAATGAGCACACGTGGGCAGTGAGGGGTTTCAGCAGTGCTGAGCATGCAGAGCCCTCCCCAGCGAGCTGGTGCTAATGAAATAAAGCATTTGAGGCCCCAGGTGACCACGAGCACAGCTGGGTGACGTGTTTAACTGCTCCCTGCTGCACCGACTGCACTGGCATGGTCTCTCAGAAGTCTGTGGAGCTCAGCAGACTCTCAAGTGATGCTTTTTAAATCCTGAAGTGGCTGTCTGACAAACAAAACAAAAATACCCCCAGACAGGAGGCTGTGCTTCACATAAATGGAAAAATCAAGCCCAAGGGGCCGCCCAGCAATTCTTCCTGACTCCTCTCCCAAGGTTTGCCAGCTCATCCTGCCTCCACCCCCTTCTGCCCAGGTGCCAGAAATTCACTCCGGGGACATTGGTGGATGTCACCGAGGTGCTCAGGCAGTCCTTGTGTCGTTGCCCTGCTCTGGAGGCACAGACCGGAGGGGCAGAGCAGGGGATCCATCCCACGGGGTGTGTGTGAGCAGCTCACACCACTCTGAAGGGCGTAAGAGCTGCCCAGAGAAGGATTTCAGCACTGAGCGAATACATATTAATGTGGCCCCATAAAACCCTCCATCAAACCTTATTAAAGGATAATTCACTTTCTGTCACTGGGAGCAGTCGGGCTCTGCCCGGAGGGAGCAGCTGACCCGAAATGCAGGATCTTGCAGGGCTGTGCTGCAAAGCCTGCCCTGCTGCTGGGTTATACTCTTTTCTGACCCAGAGATGGGGCAACTGAGAGGCGTTTTAAAAACTTCTGGT